AAAAAAAAAAAAAAAAAAAAAAAAAAGAACAGCACATCACGGTTATGGTTTTTTTTTGCAGCAGCCACCCACCCGCCGTCCCGACTAGCTAAATCATCCTACATCGCACGCGAACGACCGATTGACTCAGAGCAGTTCTGAAGAGACGCGTCACTGCAGTATTCTCTTCGTCACGAAGCGAACAAGCGACCAACCAACCATGAATCTTTGAGCACCCCTGGGGCGACATCTCTACTGGCTGGGATAGGGGATTAAATTTAGTGCCCGAATTTGGGGATGCGTTTCAATATGATAGAGATGCGGAAACGCAGATCAATCTCCATGATTGATCTGCACATCTCCCCAAATGACGTCCACATTCAGGTTTCATTCAATGCCCTTTCTTTCCTTGTGGGGCCTCACTTGCAGGGTACACAGAAATCCTGACGCGTACTCCAATACATCCGTCAAAACTGGAACGATACAGAGAATGAAGGGAAAAAAAAAAAAAAGAAAAAAAAAAAGAATGAAGATTAGCACGGCCACTGCGCACTCAAGGATGACACGCATAAATCGAGAAATGGTCCAGATTTTGAAAACGGAAAATTTAATAAATTTAAAAAAATCCTGAAGAAAGTGCGGGGTTTTGCAGGGGTTTGAGGGGGTTTTCGAGTCCATACTTCGTTAACGAAGAGCCGCTCAATGGGTTGGTTGGCTGATCGTTTCTGTCACCACGGCATGGACGACAACACCCCCTACCAGCACCGCAAGCGCAATTAACTGAAAAGTAATGACAAATGCGCTGCAAGCATATCAACCCACGATAGCCGTCACTCCCCATCAGGGGCTTCTGCATTGCCATATATATACGCATATATAACGAACTATATGTAAAGGGTGACGTTCCACCGGGGTGCGATGTCGAGGATCGCCATATACAGCCTTGGTGAATAAACGCCCGCTCGGCCCCTCCCAAAAAAAAAACTCTACCATCTGAAAGAAAATCCACCCGCGCTGCATGTCATACGAACCTTGTCGTCGTCAAGGGGCGAGGGAAACGGCGGTTGCGCGCGAATCATTGCTGCTTGTGGCGGCGGCGGCGGCGGCGGCGTCGGAGGTAGTCTGCCGAACCGCGCTAACTTTCGCTTCCTCCGCTCGTACTCCGCTCTGGGCGACACCCGAACCTCTTCCGACAGCCAAGCTAACGTATTCTTCACTCGGTTCCCTAGCAATCGCCGTTTCAACCAACTCATTCGAGAGATGTTCTGACGCAGATGCAGGGTCAAAACGCGCAGGTCCAGGCGAGACTGAAACGCCGCCCTGATCTCGTTGTCCGTCTGTTGCGACGCCTGCGCATCCGCTATTACTCTATGTATGTCGCCCGTATGCAGCGTTCCTCGAATCTCAGCTCCCACGGCATCGGCCCCGAAGTCGAATCTGGTCGGCTCAGCGCGGGCATGAAGCAACCCGTCCGGGTCCACCTGGAGGATGAGCTTCACGACGGGCCTGCCGTCCGCCGGCGCAGGTCTGAAACCGGTCATCTCGAACTCGCCGAGGAAACGGTTAGCGCTGCACAAAGCGCGCTCCCCCTCGTAAATCTGAAAACTCAGACTGGTTTGGTAATCGATGGCGGCGGCGAATTCGTCGGACCCGCACGCGGGCAGGGGAGTGTTTTTTGGAATGATGACCCCCATCTGCTGCAGGTTCAGCTGCACTCCAATGCTTAATGGGGTGACCTCGCTAACCTCGACGCAGCGATTGCTGACGAGCATCCCTGCCTGCACGGCGGCGCCATAAGCCACCGCCTCGTCGAGTTCCATGTTCTGCAGCGGCGGTTTGCCAAAATAGGTCCTCAACATCTCCTGTACCATGGGAATCCGACTTGAGCCGCCGATGAGCACGACATCGGAGATCTCGTGTTTGCTGATACGAGCACCGCGCAGAGCCTCTTCGACCACATCGATGCATTGCGCGAAAAGTGGTCGATTAAGCTCTTCGAACGTGGCGCGACTTAAGGTCGTGCACAGCTCTCTGTTGCCTGGCATTTCGATATCGATGGGCGTGAAGTGGCTGAACGAAAGCGCGTGCTTGGCCTCTACCGCCGCCTCTCTCAATTTGGACATCGTCTTCGGATCCGTCGGGAGCGGCTGTCGAGTTAGCCGCGCGTACTCGTTCCGGAAAAACGCAACAACGTTGTTGTCGAAATCTGCGCCGCCCAAATGACTGTTTCCCGCCACTGCGTTGACCTTGAAATTGGCATCGTCGTCGAGTCCCTCATCGCAGGTCACGGTGATTATCGACACGTCGAATGTGCCCCCGCCCAGATCAAAGACCAAGATCCTTTTCCCCCTGCAATTTGTGCCCATTAGCCGTCTCGAGCCGTATGCGACAGCCGCCGCCGTCGGCTCGCTCATCAGCCTCATCACTTCCAAGCCGGCGAGGGATCCCGCCGCCTTCGTCGCTTGCCGCTGCAGATCGCTGAAATAGGCGGGAACCGTTATCACCGCCTTTCGGATGCTTCTGCCCGCGTAGCTCTCCGCCAGCCCTTTCATCTTCTTCAGCAGCTCCGCGGAGATGTCCTCCGGTCTGAAATCTCGCCCCGGGACGCTGGGAACCCTAACCAGCGCCTCGCCGTTAGGTCCCGGGACGACCTGGAAAGGCCACATTCTGGCGTCATCTTGGACGCTCTTCTCCAGAAACGACCGGCCCATCAGGCGTTTGACTTCGAAGATGCAATTGCTGGGCGACATCCCTGCATATCGCCTCGCCGCGGCGCCGACCATACACTCTGAGTCCGAGAAGCCCACATAGGAGGGGGTTGTGCGCTTGCCTTCGTCCGCGACAATGATCTCCACATCGTTGTATCCTTGGCAGATCGCTAGACAGCAAAACGACGTCCCCAGGTCGATCCCGATAACCGGCTCGAAATTGGGATCGCGTCCGCCGCGAGCCATCAACACTGATGATCTCTCTCGTTCAAGGGGGGGATCGCCCGGACTGTCTACCCCGCGGCCAAGTTGCTCCTCCTATGTCCCGATCCCGCCTGCCGCGCCGGCTCCCTCCACCGCTAGCGCTCGTTAAAATTAAACGTGTTTTTTTTTTTTTTTTTTCTTGCCCAGCGCGGCCTATTGACAGTCGGGTCGGGACACCAATCGCGCGCTACTAATTACTGCATGATCGCGACTTGAAAGAACCACCACCACCTCCCTCTCCCCTCTTCATCCCAATTTCCTCGTCTTCGTCTTGTCCTCACATCTCGTCCTTTCACTGATCTTGAACTTCGTCTTCCATCTTTCAAGTTCCCCGGCCCGATCTCCGCCTTTCAGCTGCCGTTCCCACCACCAGATCTCGTTAGACAAAACACAATACATAACAGACGTGATTGGCCAACGGCTTGAATACCGATGAGACACGCGATACGGATCGCTCGCTAATTACCCCATCATTATCCATAGGGATCGCATCTCACGACCGTCGCCCTTAAAAATTTTCAAACACGGACATCCGACCAAATGATTGGAACGATGCAGAGATGATTCGCCTCGACTGGATATCACAAAACATTCATTCCTAACGTTTGGAAGCGAACCTCACGTGCAGAAGAAGAGAATAAGAAGTATGAAGAAGGAGAGATGAGGCAGACATAAGACGAAGAGAATAAGAGATAGGAGACGAGGACAGACACAAGGCACACTACCACACAAGAATTTTCCTAACGCGACGCAACGAAAAGTCTTAATTGAAGAATAGGCAGATGGCCGAGAGTAAGATCATAAGACTAATCAGCTTGGTAGAAACCAGGTTGTGAGCGACCCAAGATGTTTTTTTTTCGGCCGTGCGCCAATCCCGTCATCTTCAGGGGTAAAAATCAAATTGCATGGTCCCTGCGCGAGGATAACAACCGCATCATGATCGATAATAATCATATCTCAAGACCGTCGCCCTTTTCAAAGACGGACATCGAATCCAATGATTGGAACCGCACAGAAGAGATTCGCATGGCCCCTGAGCGAGGATGACACGCACGCACGAACCGAGAATTGGTCCAAATCTTTGACAGAAAGGGAAATAATAATAATAAATAATAAATACTAAGGGGAGAAAACTGTAGAAAAACACGATTAAAGCGGAGAAAACAGTAGAAGGACACAAACGTTCACACAACTTCTCCTCACCGACAGAACAACAACCGATCCTCGGAACCGAAAGTCGAAGACCGATCGGGCAAATCCTTGAGAATCGAACTACATGTTACTCCAGACATTTCTTTTCAGCGTCATGTTGATATCTCCGCCTAAGGCTTGCGAATAGAACCGTCGATTATCTCGGCATACCGTAAGTACGGGCCTATGCGTTCCCCTTTTCACTTCTGAGCAGAGGTAGCACCACGGTTGCGCAACAAAAAAAAAAAAAAAAGTTGAACGACTACCAGCCATTGCTGAAGCAAAACAAAACGAGCCCTTGCAACGGCCTCAACCTAAAACAGCTTGCTTTACAACGCAACCCGGCCACCAGCTCTCCATCCTCCCTTGCTGATGACGCCAGTCACGGCGTCAGCCGAGTCGTAACCCGGATTAGTGCAGAATCTCGAAACGCTTGGCGCGTCCACTCGTATATGTAAGTTTACCGCATCGTAAACGACGCACCACCGCTCAGAGTCCAGAGAAGACCCAAAACCCGCATTGCAAACTCCGGGCTTCGACGCCTCTCTCTCTCTCTCTCTCTCTCTCTCTCTCTCTCTCTCTCTCTCTCTCTCTCTCTCTCTCTCTCNCTCTCTCTCTCTCTCTCTCTCTCCCCCCCCCCCTGTGTGGCTCGTCCGCTCATATACGAAGTTTACTGCAGTGTAAACGACGCACAAATGCTCAGACTCTGAGTCTGGAGAAGACCGAAAACCCGCCTTCGCAACTCCAGGCTTCGACGTCTCTCTCTCTCTCTCTCTCTCTCTCTCTCTCTCTCTCTCTCTCTCTCTCTCTCCCTCTCTCTCTCGCGCGCGCTAGATATCCATTCATATGCCAATACACCTGCACATCAATCAACTCGCTGAATTCGAAACAAGTACTGAGAGTTTGTGGCCGCTGCTGTTGTACTTCACCGGGTATGACGATTTAGTGAGGTGGAACTCTAGTGCCGTGGAACGAAGCAAAAAGTGCAGCCCAAAACTGGCAGTCAAAGCTCTGGCCATTGTAGCCAACACTATGGTTCACATGAGAGCACGTAGCGTCCGTAACGAAATGAGGAGGCATTCAAATGTTATGCCCTACCTCCACTGTCATGATTCGTTGACCTTCCTGCCTCAGAGACGCTCCGCCTCTTCCATCTCCGAGTCTCTTAGAGGAAGCCCCCAACGCCAATCATTGACACTCGCCTTCTTCCCGGTATTGGTCAATAACGCGGGTAAGGGCATCCTCAGACTTGGACTACACTTGCACAATCCCGCGCCAATTCATGGTCGATACAGACTCTGACGTAGCTGACAGCGGCTTCCGGTGTGAGGGACGTCGAAAAAGGCAAAATGATAGAGGTCCCCCCAGCCGAGAGCAGAGCTTCACATACGGGCCTAGTTCAGTAACTGTTAGTACACCCCTATAAACTCTCGGAATACAGACCTGTGTTCGAATCCAGACGGCGTGAAGCGAAATGAAATTCTGAATTACGCGGGCCGGTCAGTTGGACAATGACAATCTCGGGGGCGGCGTCCGTTCGTAGAAAGAGGAAAAGGAAAGAGAACGCTCAGCCTCGGTCAATACGACTCCGAATTTGTCGTTCTTGCCTCGTTGTAATATGGCGCGAACACCTTGGCGGGCGGCTTCCGCCGTGCCGACTCTTTCCGTGATTAGAGGGCTAAGGGCAGATGTTCTCATTGGTTGGGGTTTTCTGCGGCAATTCGGTACAGAAGGCGAGTATTGGCTCGGAGGTTATTTCCATTTTCGCACAGAGAAAACATTATTTTCTCTGGGCTCCCACCCACCCCATATTCCCTCGGTGCTGGGCCCCCGGGACCACGGCTATGGAAACCTCTGAGTAATTATATTATTGCCATGTCCTTTGCTGGATTCGCATTCATCTTCTTCAGGACCTCCGAACATCACTTTGCCCCACCCGTCAATTACCTATGAAATCTGGCCAGGCCCTGTAGCATCCACAACCATGTTCTATGGAAACCTCTGAGTTATTATAAAATTGCGATGTCCGTTGCTGGATTCACAGTCATCTTCTTCAGGACCTCCGAACATCACTTTGCCCCACCCCTCAATTACCTCTCAAATCTGGACAGGCCTTTTTTATCATCATTATAGTATTACAGGGAGCCCTGTAGCATCCACAACCATGTTCAACCAGGGAACATGCAGGAGCCGCACCCACCAGCAGGTGTGATGCCTGTGACGCCCAACCTCACGCTGTTTCGGAGTGGGAGCGGGCCCGGAAGTGCGAAAAAGAGGTGTGCCAAGGATTTTAGGAAAGTGGGGGGTGGAGTCCCAGGTCAGAACTGAGATCTCCGGTGTCAAGTTTCAAGGACAGCAGTGCAAGTGGTTCAGCGAGGTTCGTTGTTCAGGCTTGGCAAAGCTACACAGGCTAGGCTATCGGTCCGTAATTGGTGAGGGGACAGACCTGTGGACTCGTGAGGTGTTCCTCGATGGATGACCGGGATGTGATCTACGATATCGGGCGAAGGTATGCGCGATATTCCGCCGTAGGGCGGTTTTGATCACCCGATTTGCATTTTCCACGAGTCCGTTCGATTGCAACATATGGGGAGCAGTGTTCCGGATTGAGACACTATGTACGACCAAGCTCCTCAAAACTTCGCCTCGGACTTCTGCTTCATTGTCAGTCAGGATTTCCTTAGTATCCTGATGCACTCCAAGGAAATGGCTGACGTGTCACACGATTTTCGTCGTCTGTCTCGTTTTACATGGGTAAGCCTCGATCCATTTGGAAAAATGGTTTACAAATACCAGTAAGACTGAATATTCGCAGCTATTAGGGCCAGGGGGAACCACGATGTCCGTTGTATCTATGCTAACCATGTGGAATGGTCGTTCGACTACAGTTGGAACAATGGACCAAGGCGGCTGGATAAGCGCTTTATTTGTGGCACAAACGGGACAGTTCTTAACTATTAATTTAACGTCGTCCCTAATATTGGACCAGTACCATTCGTTCTAGTCAATAGCCGATTACGTGATCGTGAGAGCGAAGTGAGCAATGTTTTCCTTATGGGCCGACTTTACCCAATCATATCGCATAACCCGGTGTTGTACGGGCATCCAAAGACCGCTCTCATCTGTCTTTCGCTTTTCTAACCTTCCCTCATTCCATCGATAATCCCTCGCACGTTCGTTGGCCCGTCTGCGATCCTCTTTTGAGTATTCTTGGAGGGGGTTCCTTACAACGGTTGCTATCAATACAACATATGTCCAGACTTCAGCACATTGAAATCTACGCGTCTTTTCCAGTCCTTCCAAGGTGGCCTTGAGGAATCGAGTCTCCTTCGGAATCTTGTCGGTCCGGCACAAGGGACACAACCATGTCTTTTGTGTGTTCTTATACTGAATGTAGGACCCGTGGTCTCTAGAGACACACCGATCACAATTTACCCAATCGACGTACCCTTCTCCATGTGAGTGCATAGGGACAGAGTAAACCCGCGAGATCGCTTCAAAGAAATAGCAAAATTTATTGGGCAAAGATAGAAAAGAAGAGGAGGTAGGAGAAAGGGCCCAAGTTGAGCCTCATCATTACCTTCCCCCAGCGTCATCATGAGTCCACATTTCATTTCCTCGATGGTTGGGGGAGAACTTTTACTTTTCGTAAGCGCGACCCTTGGGGGATTCCCGATCTTTTAACGGAACGATCTCCTCACACTTGAGCACCTTGCCTCGGCGATGCAATCTCGTTAGTCCGTCGGCGTTTCCGTGTCCTTCGGTCTTCTTGTGGACGATGTCAAAATCGTATCCGTGGAGTCTAACCGCCCAGCGCCCAATCATGGCCGTGTAATTAGTAAGCTTCTTGAGGGCTAGCAACGGCTCATGACCGGTAACCAGCAACTGGCAGCAAGAACTTATGCCCATACAGATACGGGTGGAAATGTTGAATTCCCTAGACCGCCGCGTAGAATTCTCCTTGGGGCGCTGAGTCGTTACGTCGCTCATCTGGCACAATTCGAGATGTATACTCAATGATGCGTTCCTTTCCGTCCTTTCCCTTCTGCGCCAAAATAGCGGAGATGACCTCCGGTTGCCAATCCATGATGAGTACAAATGGTCTCTTTGGGTCAGACGAAGTTAGAATAGGTGCGGAGGCTAGGGCATTCTTCAGTGTAGAAAAGGTTTACTCGCAGCCCGCGTCCCAATGCAGAGGTTGGTCCTTCCCCAGAAGACTCGTCAGGGGCCGTGGAATTGATGTGAAGTCCCAAATGAACCGTCGATAGTATGAGGACAATCCCAAAAAGGTCCGGACCTGCGTTGATGACATCGGCGTGGGTGCTTTTAGGAATGCCTCGGTTTTCTATTGATCCGGCATCGGTACTCCACGTGTCACAATGTAACCCAGGAACAAGATTTCTCGAACGAAAAACTCGATCTTTTAGAGGGCAATCTTGAAACTCCCGTCCCTCAGTGCCCCTAGCGTCCATTCCACACGCTGAGCGTACCCATGAGATGAGTCGGAGTATAAAAAAATATTGTCCATATACACGATAACACAGAAGTTCATCATGTCTTGTGTCAGTCGCGTCCTATTGACGAAATTATGCAAGGTAACGTTCATCGCTCTCTCGAAAGTCGCAAGCGCATCACATATCCCCATAGGACAACGAAACCACTCCCACTTCCCTTCAAACAACACGAATGTCGTTTTCGCTTTGTCTTCCTCTTTAACCAAGATGTGGTGAAAACCATGGCAAATATCAAACTTACTAAAATAACTAACACATCCAACAGCATCGAGCAAACCATCAATCCGGAGTAAGGGCTACACATCTTTAACCGTGATGTCATTCAATTTCTCATAATCAATGCAAATGCGTGTGAACCTAGGCTACGATCCGGGCCGCCCGGGCAGCAAAACCTTGCTCGGGACCTGCCCGGCCCGCTTGGCTGGGTGACCAGACCGGTCTGAACCCCGGGCCACCCCACGCGCACTTGGGTCAAAGCCTGAAATTGGGGTTGAAAAGGGGCAAGGTGACGAGGATGGTCCCGGATTGTAACCCTCCGTCCAAAAAAAAAATCAGGCCTCAGCAGACCCAATTTTTTTGGCCATTGTAATATCGGTCGTTCATCCGGTCCGATCGACGGCCGAATCCGAATCGCGGTCCGTGTTCAAATTCGAATTTGAATTCCAACTCGAACCCGCGCGGCCCGCGGCGGCGCACTCCCGAGTTGGGCTGGAACAGCGTTCCCCGCCCCTCGTCGCTGTTGTCGGCTCCACCGTCGTCCCCATCGCCACCACGTCGCTGTCGCCATTGCCGGTGCCCGCGTGCTACCCCGGAGCTGCTGCCACCGTCGTCTTCGTCACCGTCACCGTCGCTGGTGCCCACATGCTACCCCGGAGCTGCTGCCACCGTCGTCGTCTTCGTCACCGTTGCCAACCATCACAGGAGGTACGCGCTCACCATCTCCTCCTCCTCCTCCTCCTCCTCCTCCTCCTCCTCCTCCTCTTCCTCCTCCTCCTCCTCTTCCTCCCCTTTCTTGTCTCCCTCCTCTTCGTCATCGTCCACCTCCTCTTCCATCGCCTCCTCCTCCTCCTCCTCGTCCTCGTCCTTCTCCTCCTCCATAGCCTCCTCCTCCACCTCCTCTACCTCCACGCCATCCTCCACGTCTTCCTCCTCGTCTTCCTCCTCCTCCTCTTCTTCCTCCTCTTCGTCCTCCTCCTCTAGTCTTCCTCCATGGCGTCTTTCTTCTCGTCTTCCTCCTCGTCTTCCTCTTCTTTCCCCCTCCTCTTCGTCCTCGTCTTCGTCGTCATCTTCATCCCCGTCTTCTCCCTGCTCCTCCTCCATAGCTTTCTCCTCCTCCTCTACGTCCTCCTCTTCCTCTTCGTCTTTGTCCTCCTCGTCGTCCTTCTCCACCATAGCTTCCTCCTCCTCTTGTCTTCCTCCTTTATCTTCCTCCTCGTCCACTACCTGCTCGTCTTCCCTCTCCTCCTCATCCTCTTCTTCGTGTTTCCCCATCGCCTACTCTTCCTCCTCTTCCTCCTCCTCCTCCTCCTCCTCCTCCCCGGCGTCCTCTTTTTCCACCGCGTCCTCTTCCCCCTCGTAGTATTCATTTTTCTGCGTCGCCTTCTTTTCCTCCTCTTCGTCCTCGTCTTCCTCCTCGTCTTCGTCTTTCCCCATCTCCTCCTCGTCCTCTTCTTTGTCTTTATCCATCGCCTTGTCTCCCCCCTCCTCGTTTTCGTCTTCCTCGTCGTCTTCCTGCCCATCTTCCTTCTTGTCCTCCTCGTCTATTGCCTCCTCGTCTTCCTTGTCGTCTTCCTCCTCTCGTTCGTCTTCGTACTCAACCTCCTTGGCCGCGTGTCTCCATGTCGGCCCCCTTTTCCTTTTCTTTTTAATTTCACTTGCTGATTTTAAATGTTGTTTTGTGCGGTCGCGAGTTGTAGGTTTCCACCGTCAATCAATCAATCAATAATCGCTCATCGGTAATGCCATATGGACGGACCTTTTTGTCCAAGATCCGTCGTTTAACGACTGATATTGGACGAAAAGGTTCATCCATGTCGACGAATCGACGAGCAACGATTGATTGATTGATTGATTGATTGATTGATTGATTGATTGATTGATTGATTGATATTTAGAACTTAGAAGCAAAAAAAAAAAAGGCTGACGTGGCAGCACTGTCAGTGATCATGGTTGATCTTTCTGCTTTCCCGTTCGATTTTCATATCTGCTGTTTGGTTTGACCGTCAATCAATCAATCAATCAATCAATCAATCAATCAATCAATCAATCAATCAATCAATCAATCAATCAAACAATAATCGCTCATCGATCTGTCCATATGGACGGACCTTTTCGTCCAAGATCCGTCGTTCAAGGTTCAACGACGGATCTTGGACGAAAAGGTCCGTCCATATGGACGGATCGACGAGCGATTATTGTTTGATTGATTGATTGATTGATTGATTGATTGATTGATTGGTTGATTGATTGATTGATTGATTGATTGATTACAAAAAGTTGAGTTCTAACTTCTAGCCTCTAGGCTTAGTACGAGTCGCGTTTCTGCTGTTTGGTGAAGCGTGCGGGCAAGTGCTGTTCTAGGTTAAGTAGGAGTCGCGTTTCTGCTTTCTCATTCGTTCAGTGGACTTGTGATTCTCGTATTTGAAAAATAGTAATGAACAGCGACGGAGACAGAAGTGGCGGGCGGAAAGAAAGGAGGAGGAGGGAGGGAGGAAGATGAGCGAGAGCGTTGGAAGGATGGGATGACGAGGAGAAGGAGGAGAGAACGAGGGTTGAATGAGGGTTGAACGGAGAGGAGAAGGGGGGAGAAATGACGAGGGGGAGGGAGAAACGAATAGGGAGAAACAAGAAAGGACGAACAAGACAGGGTTTTGTGGCAAGATAAAGGACGAAATTGAAAGGAGGAGGATGGAGAAAGGAGGAGGAGGAGGAAACGGGGAGGAGGGAGAAACGTGGGCAGAAACGTGGGATGGAGAAAGGAGGAGGACGGAGAAACGTGGGATGGAGAAAGGAGGAGGAGGAGGAGAAACGAGGAGGAAGGATAAATGAGGAGGAGAGAGAAACGAGGAGGACGAACAAGACAAGGGTTTGTGGCGAGATAAAGGAGGAGATTGAAAGGAGGAGGATGGAGAAAGGAGGAGGAG